AAATATAATGGTCATTACAGTCTCAATAGCACTATCATGCAGTTGCGAAAAATATATATTTGGCATTAATCTAAGGCACCAGGTAATTGGATGTTCAGTGCAATTTTGTGAATTTTATTTATTCATAGATGGCTCCACAAGTATTCACATATCACCAAACCTAATCTACTTGACCTTACCAGATATTGTATCATTTTTTCAAAATAATTTTTCAATCCTATTACTATTATTTGTATTATTATCATTGCTATTATTATTATCATCGTCATCATTGATGCATGCAATATAAGGTTATCATCAATACTTATAGCAATAAAAATGAGAAATAAAGATCTCTGAAAATCAAGAAAAATGGGGAAACAGGTGAAATCAGGTAGGACTATCAAGTGACTCCTTGGTGACTATAGATCTTATGGAGTTATCTATGTGTAAGCAAAATAAGCAGAAAGTGGAGTCAGTGATCTTGGCATAGATTTTTACTATCACTGCATCAATGGGTTAAATGCCTATCAGTAAATGCACAATATTTTTTCATTATGGTTGTATTTGCTTTCAATTTTTTTTTCTTCCTTTTTTTCTTTCCTTCTTTCTTTTTTCTATTGGTGATTTTGAGACTAATTATCTGTACTCACAAAGAAAAAGAAATGTAATTTGACTTGTGCTGTATTTAGTACATTTCTAAAATAATGCTTTATAATCAACCAAAAAATAAAATACTTTCTTTAGATATAAAAAATCAAATTAAAATACTAGCAAAAACTCAAATAGGAAAGTGTTACAATTGTAACAACGAAAAAAAGTAAAAACATTTTATCTCTTACATAAGCAAGAGGTAAGTAAGCAGTTGGTATTGAAGGAGTCAGGAGATGCATATCACTTGCCCCAAATGTCCCTAAGTTGGTTCTCAGGTGTTGAAGTAAGTGATTTAGTGTAGAGTATCCTCAAAACTACACACATTGTATACTTGATATGTGCCATAGTAGCTCAATGGCCCCATACAAGAAAAACATGTCATGTCCATTTTGATTTTAGTTTATTCATTGTTTTTACACAGAGATGGCTCCACAAGTGCTTAGTTACCAAGTAATCAATAATTACTCTTGCCTATCTCATCTGTTTACCCTTTTCCTTGATTTTTGGAAAGATTCTTTATCATTAACCAATAATTTTTATTGTTATTATCATTCTAGCAACAATTTTAACTATCATAATATAAATAATGATAATAACAATATCAATATCAATTAATATTATAAAAAGAAACATCCAGATTCAAGGAAATCAAGGGTGGCTAGGGCCTACTAATGGAGTCCTTAGTAGCTGAGCCCTTGTAGAGTCATCAGTGTGCAACAAAAAAATCATATAAAAAACTACACAAGATCAGTGGTGAGCAGAGGTTTTGTGATGCCCAGGGCCAACTCTTTTTTAAGCTGTATAAGGGTTATTACTGAGAAATATTATGATGAAAGGAGATGTTTTGAATGAGTAAACACAGATAAAACATAAAATAAACATTTTATTTCATCTAAACATAAACTTCAAAATCCCAGTTCCCTGTCTGATTGAATGCCTCCGCTATTTGGATGCCTAGAGCCACTGCCCCTTCGACCCCCTCTGCATGCCACTGTATATAAAAGGTGTTAAAAGTTGTAAATAAAAGGTATTATTCCAAGAAGACTAGTTTAGATCTAAAATTCAAATAATCTTTATTTATACAAACAAACTGGAGCATATGGTTACAAGGTGAGCAAGGTGAACATTAACTATGGTTAAAGAATAAAATTATGAATGTTTATGATTGTACTTATAATCTAAAAGTAAAGGTTTCTTATCGAAAAATACATACTAAAATTAAGGATTTTTATTATGTACACACTGTATGGATGATGATAATAAATATTTCAGCTGTATATGAACAGTATACCAACTGACTTCCATTTTATTTTTTACAAACAGCAGAAGAGAACATTATAAGGGCTTTTCAAATTCATCTTCATACTTCTCAACAAGTAGGTGGGGATATTTTCGAAGCCTGACTTGTACCTTGTCAGTATCCTCATTATAGCTGCCGATGCTCAATACTACAACACGAGAAATATCTAAGAAGGCCGGGTTCTTGCTTGACACGGCTTTTATGATATCAACTTCATCCTCCTCTTGAAGCTGTAAAAATGGAAGTGTTTTTATTCACATTCCTCTGCAGATTCACTGGATATGATCTCAATAATAATTACTTTGGTAGTAATATACTAAACATTTGTACCATACATCTTGTGATTCCCAGAAAAACAATGGTGTTTTGATTATTAAACAGTTGTGTTATGTCTGCAGTGTGGAATGGATTAAATAAATATAATATAAAAACATACAAGACAACAAGCATTTTGTTCTCCATACACTTTGGTTGATGAAGTGTGTATGTTAGTTAGAAAACAGGAGCACTCTTATCCATGAACATGATATCAATTAATGATTATGTGTGGATATATGACACTCCTTGCTAGAGGGAGAGCATGGCAAGCAACCTGAACACAATTTTCAATTGGAGCTTTTTCAATTACTGAACAATGAAAGATAACTTTATTGGAATGAAACCTTGACAGCAAACTGCTTTAGTTGTTTCATACGTCTCATACACTCTGCTTCATTTGTTTAAATTTTACATTCTACATTTTATTCTGAATACAATATAGAAATGTAAGATCAAAAATCATATGGTATGTGCCATGTAGCCTTTTTATATTCTTACTCCCCCTAACTTTAAAAGTTGGTTACACCTCTGCTTTTAACCCAATGCTGCTAGGAAAATGTAATGTTTACTGAAGTGCTGTGTTGTGGTGGCTTCTCATGTGCTCAGCCACCAAGAAGTCAATAAGTAGACCTTATGACCTCATCTGATTAATCCCTCTCCTTGAGTTTTTGAGATTTTTTTTTTCACTAATGCTATTAATATTGATGTTATCATTATTATTATAGACATCATTTTACTGTTATCATCATTATAGACATTATATCCAATATGTTATGAAAATCACTAATAGCAATATAAGATAACAGAGAATATTTCTGAAAATTATGGGTATATATGTGAGACAGGTTGTACTAGTAATTGACACATTGGTGACTCAGCATTTGTGGAACCTACTATGTATAAAGACAATTAGTAAACTAAACTCAGAGTAGGCATGATATGTATGTACATGTCATCCCTAGTAGCACTAGGTTAAATAAATAAATAAATAAATAAAAAGTGTACTAAAAGTTGGTGCAACAAAGGGAATCACCAAGAATAACATGCTTCTTCAGCATGGCCAGGAATTAAAAAACAAACTGGATTTGGTAATGCTTCCTATACAGGGCAAATTCAAATATGAGAAAATGTTTGTAAAACTGATTATTTTAAACACCCTACCTTTCTTGCATCTGTCTTTAATAAAAAGTAAACAAAGTTATTTCTCACAAACTTTACTTAATGTAGGTCAGGCTAAATATCACTTTACCTAGATGAATAGCATGACTCTATAACTCTAGGATTATTTACTGTCTTAACTTGAAATACTGTTTAAAAAACACAATCCCTCTACAGGATATCAAGAATTTCAATGTTAACTTATTTAGGTGCTCTAAACTAGAATACTATCTCAAAGAATTATGAGATATACAAAGTGAAATCCCTTTTCACAAGTTTACTTTAGAAGCATTGACTTTCAAATATCTGCAATTTCATATACAGAGGACTTTTTCTTTTTTTATTATTGCAATTGTGCTGCTCTTTAAACAAGGTAAACCAATTGTCTCCATGCTAAAAATAATAACAATATGCACTAAACTTGTAGCTGTGATAACATTAAAAAAGGGGTCAACTCTAATTCTGAGAAAATTTACTTGACATAATACATACATTAAAACATGATAAGCGAATAGAATAAAAAGCTGGTATAATGTAACTTTTATAGTCTAATATATATACACACATAAACAAAAACATAAAAACATATCCCACATCAAAAGCAGCTCTTTGTAGCTGATTCCTTAGCATGGTCCTGGCATGAGCATCTAATGAACCTCTTTCCTGAACTTTCAACTGGAAACCAAGTAAGCACATATGCGACATACAGTAAGTTTTAGTCCATCCAGCCATAAAATATACTAAATACCTAACTAAACTTAACATATGTGATAAACAAGGAGAACTTACCTGCTTACTCTTTTTCATCACTTTCTGACCATTTACACGGATCTTGCTATCGTAAAAGGCTGACTCCACTTTGCTGAAAGGAAAAACATAAAGCTACAATAATTTGTTGAAGAAATATGAGCACTAACTCAGAAAAAGGAAGAAACTTGCCTAAAAGTTATAAGAATATCACATCCTACTGCAAAGAGGTATTTTGCAAAAGGAGATTTACGAATACAATAATTCTAATAAAAAATGTACATAAATGCCACCCTTCAGTATGAGGCTAACTGCTATCAATTGTCAATAAAATAATTATTGGTAAACAGTATGGTTACAGATCATGGTTATGACCACATGAATCAGATGGATAGATAGATAGATAGATAGATATATAAAAAAAGTCTAAATTCAATCCATTTATGATGGGTGTCCCATATGTGAGACCAGCGGAAAAATGAACATTGCCAGGTGTCACGTCGGTGTGATTGGCCGGCCCCTTGCACCTATTTTGTAGCTGCCAAGAAAATATTATTCTAAAATATACCAGCGTTAGTGGGTTAACAACAATGATGGTGAAAATGATGATGATAATAACAGTGATATATTAACAATGCTAATTGTAGTAATAATTATCACAATTATAGCACTATTTATTATACTTCTTATAAATTTCATTGTGGTGATCGTAACTATAACAATAATGACTGTAAAAAGACAATACAAATAATGTTACAACAGTGAAGAAAAAATGATAAGAAAAAAAAAAAAAAAAAAAAAAAAGAAAAAAAGAAAGAAAGAAAAAAAAAGAAACTAATGCAAATAATTATGGTGATAATAATGTTAACAAGAATCATGATAATGAATTAACAATACAAAAAAAAAAAAAAAATACAAATAATAAAAATAATGAAACTGATAATGATGATAATAATTATGCTGATAATGATAGTATCAAAAATATTAACATCATCAACAATAACAAGGATGAATATCAATTTGTAGTTGCAAAGGTATGGTCCCATGGAGCAACATCAAACCAAAGTACTGCATTTCCTAAGTATGTTCATTTCCAGTTGACTGACTTTAATTCTTTAGTGAATAGCTATTTATTAGAGAAATTCAGAACAACTACGTCAAACTCAGTTTCCCTTACTTTATATATTCTATGTATTGTTCTGATAAGTTCTACTAACACAATATGTTATAATAAAGTTCAATATAACCAAAGTCATCAGATTGATGGGTAGAATGTGAATAGTTTCTAGATATGTACATACTTTCATTTCATTTGTCACCTGTAATTTTTTGTATATTTGAATACAAAATACTATTCAAAATAAAACTTAAAATTCCTCTGCATAATGAAATACAATAAAATACATTGGAAACAATACCTAGAGGCACTGGAAACAATATAGTAACAAATGTTTGCATAAGAATACAAAGTGGAAACGCCCAGCAAGAGGCAAGCCCCATCATTTCGTTTCTAGACAAAATTTGGAACGCTTTGGATTTATGTTAAACTTTTGGGGTCAAGATTAACAATTTAGGATATAAGGTTCTGACACCATAAATGCTAACTTCATTAATTAATTCATATATCTAGTACCTGTGCCATCACAACTGTTGATAATTCATAAAAAAAAATAAAGAAATCTTTAGCTTCCTCTTTGACAGCAAAAGCTGTAACAGAAATCAAAGTACCTGTGCTAAAACTTGCCTTTGTAATTTATCTGAGGTCAGTGAGACTAAAGGAAAGCTTACTAGATGATAGCACTGAAAACTATCCCATCCTTGGGCATTAACAGATCTTTTTGACTAGGAAATTAAGCCTGCCATAATATTGCCTCCAAAGATGAGCAGTACATAAAGTAATGACAATGAAATGAATATTAACAAAAATTGTTGTCACTATAAGATTTTACATAGAATACTCTTCACTTTACAAACTTTTATACTATTCACATAAAACAGAAATGTGCATCACAGATCATACTATGATATAATTATTGTCAAAAGAACTCTTCATCCACCAGACACAAAATAATTTTGGATCCACTGAAGGTGTGAAGAAATGTACTTTGAAAAATTTGATACAGAAGCATTCTATAATGTTTTCCAATAGGCAGTGAAATCAAAATTGCTATCACATCACTGATGACTGAAAGTAAACATACTGCTACACAACTTTTTATTTAATAATTAATCTATTTTTATCATAAAATCATTATGCTGGAATCTAGAAACTAGAGATCTTTGTGCATATATGAAAAGCAATTTATTCTAAAATTGAGTAATAAATACAGTATTTATCAAATCTTGAATAAAGAGGTGAGAAAAACAAAAACATATATATGGTGATGTATGTAAAAGCAAATCAGTTTTAAGATATACAAAGAAGTCATCTTGAAACAGAATACCTGTGATATTCTCAGAAAATTATAGAATATCAAAAATATCAAACAATAGTTAAGATAATCCATTCCACTTTAATCACAATAAAAATATGTGCATACTTGCGTGACATGTTGAACCCGGCTTTGAGGACGGCATCCAGTCTCAAGGATGAGACATTCACTCTTACATCACGGAAGTCTGCTGCCGACTCTAACTCTCCTTCCCCGTCTGACTCTTCATCATCTGAAAACTAGTAAAATTATGCACTAATATTGGCATTTAATCTTTAAAAAATGATAAAATGTCAACTCCTGGGCATATCCATAGCACAGGCACGAGTCCAACTACAAAAATGTTTAGGTTCCAGTAAACCTGGGAAAAATGAGTGTATCCATAAATAATTTTTTTTTCTGAACTTTTTGCTAAGAATCAGCCAATACTCCCCTCCATTTTTTCATGAAGAAAAAATGAGGGGGAGGCCTCTAATATTAGGGCCAGCCAGGTTACAGAAATATCAACAGATGACAAACACATAACAATCCTACTTATGTGGAAGGGTATGAATGAGAAATAACATCTTCACAATACAAGAGATGTATTTTACCGGCTTCGAATATATCTTCATCAGAAATACATATATTTGAGAGAATACACATCATATTTGTATCACATGGGAGCTGATGAAACAGCTGATGATTGTGATATCGCGATCGTTATACTCATAATTGCTGACATAACATTGGATAGTTTGAATCTACCTAATGCGGTGTTCACTTTTTTCTGTAGCAATGTATGCAGCTTCCATGACCTTCCTTTAATATTTGCTTAATCCTTGACAAGTGCGAGGTCACAATCATCAGGTGATTCATCAGCTCCCATGTGATATAAATATGCTGTTTGTGATATATTTGAAACCGGTAAAATACATATCTTGTATTGCGAAGATATTCGTTCTCATTCATACCTTTCCACGTTTTCAACATGAATACGGTTAATCCTGATCATGTATAACTTTTATTAGTATTATCAATTATGTTACACCATATTGCTGAATAACTAAAAAACTAAACTAAAAAAATCTCCAATTTTTCTTAAGCCTAGATTGCCTTTGCCATTCTGATTTCAATGGTAGGATGCTTGTCCAGTTACCCAATACTAAAGTGATTATCCTTAACATTTCTTTCTAATATAACAATACTATTGTGTTTTCTTCTTAGTCTACTTTCAATAACCCCTTAACTCTTTGTAAAGCATGATTCTCAATATAGTTATACTTCAAATGATTGGACCTGTGAAACTGATATCTAAGAAATTGTTGCTACATGGAAAAATCTACTTACGATCATCGTACTGCTAGCAGTAACAGCTTTGTGTCACAATGATCAGTTTGAACTAGCAGCTAATGTTTGCCCCATCAACATTAACTCATTATTTCTAAAGGTGCTGGTGTCACTAACTTTGAGTACCTTTATACTAGTTCAATTATACATACATGAAAAATAATCATTTATCTAATATATCACTTGATTAACAGCTCATTAAAGGAACAATTGAACCACTTGTATCTTGAAATTATCTTCTATATATCTATTTCCACTCTTCCCAATGCCTGACAATTCTAACCATGGTTGTAAGATGGTAAATCTAGTTAGGTATGATTTTTCAGTTTTGGTTTGCAGGCTCCAGGCTAGTTAACTACAGTGCTAGATGTTTTTCCATAGAGAAAATGAGTGAAATTTGAAAAACAAGTAATATATCTACCTATATCTTTGTCTTTGTAACTTTTTTGGTACAAAAACTTGTTAATGGAAAGGAAAAAACAAACATACAAAGCATGGCATTAAAACTGTTATCAGAATATGGTAAAATTAGAATCATAGAAAATACTATGAAAAAAGGGGATATCAGGGTTAAAGATTTGGTGGTGTTTCTGATAGAGATTTTTTTTCTAGATTTACTGTTTCATTTACCTATTTTGTCTCAAACATAATGATTTCCTTACTTCATTCATGATGAAATGTCTTCTTATTAAGTTATGGCAAACTATCTTGTTATGTGCACTAAATATCAGAGTGCTTATTAGGCCCTTTTGTTGAGAAGAAACAGCTTCTTAAAAATATTTTTAAAACCTCCTTTTAGACTCATTATTTCTTTTATTGTTTATGCCACAATGAAGAGCATAGAAAGCTGGGTAACTTTAGGTTTCCCACACTTCCAACTTTTCACTTGAGCAGCTGACTCCCTGACACATGGTTTGGTATGGCTCTGGGGGTTCTCTAGGAGATTGGGTTAACTAGTTTCTTTCACTGACAGGCTTCATAGCTTTCATAAGATTTAAGAGCTGCTGTAGCATATTTGGTTAATCGTTATGGTATGATCAAACTGAAGATGATGTTCTTATGGTGAACAAAGAGTAGCGGTTGCTGGTACAAGAAATAACCAGCAGGCACACGCAGTAATGCCACAAATAAAGGAAAATAATTACAGAAAGCTGCACTCACAGCCTAAGTCCACTCAGTGTTCCTGAGTTTCTTACTGTGCATACTCAAGGAATCTGAAAGTGAGGTAGCCTTATCCCCATTGAGAAGAGTGGCAACACTTAACTAAATATGATTTCTTCCTATTTATTTTATAACAAAAATAGCTTCACAAGCTTAAACAAAAGTGTCAATTTTTTGTTGCAATTCTGATACTGATACTGACAATGAATAAAAAATAGAAAACAATCCGTATTTCTGTGCCCTGACTGACACAGATATTGGTGTCTTGTGCTTCACTTTTTCCACAGTATATTGATTCTGGTGAAATATCATACCTCTAAATTCCATTCACTGTGCTCAGTAATTCCACAGATTCCAAGCACAACAGTTCACTGAATTTTTATATTCAGTTCATGTGGTTTATGTTTGCTGTCGGCCTAAAGTTTGTTGCATTATTTGAATGAAATCTGACTACACTGATATAAGGACTTTATCAAAAAAGCTAAGGTGTTTTTGGTACTATGTGCAAAAAGTGGGGTGTGGCTAAGGTAGGCAATCGAGCTGAAATGCCAACTAGTTAACCTCCTTCTACTCCTCATGCAAATACCTTACTTGAAGACTCTTTGTGCATACTGAGGTAGGGACAATATTTGCAAAGTTGGGGGATGGAACCCCACATCATCCCTCCTCTTACCCAGTCATGGCAACTTAGATTTTCTAATAAATATTGTGACTTGGAGTTGGGGATTTATTCTTTGATGAGTGCATATGTACTGTAAAGAACTACCTTACACTTCTAAAGAAAATAACATCTATTTTCAATGTACATTACTATTACCACATAAGAGAGAAGTTTTGTATTGTATTACTATATCTAATCATGTAAGCTCTATACCCAAATACTGCCACTATCTCAAAATGCATGTTCTCCAAAACCAAGACTTTCAAAACCCATAACATTCTTGCAATCATTTCATCTGTGTTCTACTAAAATCATTGTGAAAACTACTGTGATTCGTAATAGCAGGCCTCCTGTCTAAATTCAAACACAATAGCGATATAGTTTCAAGAGATCACCACTGCCAACATCATGTACATTCTGTTAGACAGAACTTACACTGGATCCATAATTAATGATAAATCAAGTGGGAGATTTGTCAGATTTTGTGTTGTGCAAGTTATATCAGTATGAAAACCATGGTGGTCACTGAGTAGATGAATATTCTCAATAATTACCAAAAATTGTTTTTAAGAGAAAATAGACTGAATACAGCAGTGATACAGATTTCATGTTTCTTACATACAACAAAACAGATGGAATACAACTGCAATTTCAGCAACAAACAATTTACCACAAACAGCTTATCTCAACCACTCATACTGAACATATATAATCACATTCCAAGTCTGGTTTCCTTGGAGATAATCATAATCATCCTATCAAAACTTGTGGATAGTTATTTTTGGTACAGTTTCAGTTTCACAGTCATATGGTACAAGGTAAGTTTGGCTGTTATGGATAGAATGACAAAGTAAGACACATTCAATCTATATATTTCTTTTGCAAGTTGATAATATGAAAATTGAGCAACACATAACAACATGGTATCCATCAACAGAAAAATCTAATGAGACTATCATATAGAAAAGGAAAAACTATATTCACTGGTACTTAAAATAATCTGTGCAGGCAAAGAATAATGTCAGAAATTAACAAAATAGGCCATGAAAAATTCTAAGCAGAGAGTAAGTCTGAGGTGATTGGGTTGTGGTCTAGGGACAGTCCCCCCATAGGGAACTAGTGATCATATGGGGGTCTAAGGGTTAAGTCCCTGGGTTAAGATGATTGGTAAACCTTTATAGTACAGACACACCAACTCCTTAACTCCACATCATAAAATCTATTCAACAATCTAAGTTGCAGTGACTGGTCAACTGCCTGAGGAAAGAGTTGATGGGTGGCTTTGCCACCGTCTTCTCGATATGCATGGCAAGATTGAGGTTAAACTCAAACAGAATGCCCCAAATAAAGGAAAAATTTTGTGGAAAGCACTGCTTACAGCCTAAGTACACTCAGTGCTCCTGAGTTTGAAGTCTACAGAGATGAAGACAATGTCTGCCAAATAGAATGTGAGCCCCCTATCAATCCTCCCCTTAGGCTGTTCCTGGAATGCATGCCCAATCACAGTAACTTAGATTGTTGAATCTTTGTCTTTGGCAAGTGTGTCCATCTTGTAAAGAATTACTTTAAAAAAATAAAATTTTTTTCCTCCTGTGACTGTATGAGCATTGTAATGACCTCAACACAGCGCAACCAGGCCCACAGCCATGTAGTAAAAGGTAAAATTTGCCTGTAATGGACAGAATGACTGAAAAAAAGACACATTTCAAATAATATTTTAGCAAATTGGCAATACAAAAGTTGTGCAACGCATAATACTTTGGCATACATTTACAGGAAAATGTAGAAGGAATATCATAATCAAAGAGCAAAGCTACACTTATGCCAGACTGTAGAGTATTTTTCTTGGGCGGGGAATATTACATTTTTTCATGCACGGAAAATATCACTTTGTCTACATTTGCGGGGACGGATCTGATGGTTGATGAAACAAGTGCGCGGAAAGGTAAAAAAAGAATTATGCGGCAAAGAATTTTTGAGCGGGGAACGTGTTCCCCATGCAGAACACAGTCTGGCACTTATGTATACATGGAATAATCTGCATTGGCAAAAAATAATGTCAGAAATTCTGAAAATTGTAAGAGATGATCAGATGGAAGCCTGGGGCGAAGCCTCCACGTTAGGAAGGTTTTTGGTTCATGTGGTGATATTTGCTGATTTCCCAGGAATGGCTAGAGTAATGACTTAATTTCAGATGGGTGCCATCACTTCATAAACATAATATTTTCATTTATAACAATTGCAATGGAAAATAACAAGAGATTCACACTAAAAGATGGAACAACAATTGCAAGACTGGATGCCATTGTACCACTAAAAGATGACAGGCTTTATGGGTACTATATTTTCAATAGGGATTAACATGCACTCACATCTTGGCTTCTATTCCTTCTCTTGTCTGACTTGCTGGATTTGTGCCGTGAAGAACAAACTAAACTGCTGCCAATGTGACCCTGAACTCGACCCATTCCCTGCTCTGGGCCAAGGGCATTGTACCTCGGCCAGGGCCCATATGCAGAGACCCCGCTTGAGGCACTGGAATAAGTCCTGACCGGGGCACAGGGCAGGCGTGATGGTCTCTGCAGGATATTTCCGGCGTTTAAAGGAGAGCCTCTCGCTCTGCAGATCAGGTGTTTGCAAACTCTCAACATGTTGCGCCGACAAGTCCGTGCACCGTTGTTGTTCTCGGTCTTCTCATTCTCTCGTGTCCACAAATTGAGACACAGAAAATGCCATTCTCTTACAGGGAAACTCAACTAAAAAGACTCAAAGCACTAGAATACAGGAATTAAAGACCGAATACTTCGACGTTATCTGCGAGTAATATGCACTATATATACATTATACTTACATACATAGATACGCGCAATATATGTATATATCATCATCATCATCCGGAGCTAACGCCGACGGGGGTGCATAGCCGCGTCCACCTTCTGCTTCCACCTTTTGGGATCCCTCATGGCAAGTCGCCAGGCAGGGGCCCGGCCCATCTCGAGCTCTTCCCGACAGGTTTGATTGATCTGCCCAAGCCACGACTTCCTGGGTCGTCCCACAGGCCTCCTCCACCCAGGGTTGCCTCTTACAGAGACAACCTGATGGGCAGGATCAGCCTGTGGAAAGCGAGCCAGGTGGCCATATAGCCTGAGTTGGCGATCCCGGATTGTGTAGGTAACAGGTCCTGTGCCAGTCTCACGGTGCAGCCGTTGGTTAGACACATGGTCCCGCCAACAGTACCCCATGATCTGGCGGAAGGACCTATTGCAAAAGGCGTCAAGACGAGACTCCAGTGCACTGGATAATGTCCAGGTTTCTCTACTGTAGAGTAAAATTGGCATTACCAGGGCCCTGAAAACCCGTAGCTTGGTCCTTCTGCACAGGTACCGGCATCTCCAAATACTCTTGTCGAGAGAGTTCATGACCCCTGCTGCCAGGCCAATCCGTCTGCTGACTTCCTGGTCTGACAACCCAGAGTTATGAACTGCACTACCAAGGTATGTAAAGCTCTCTGTGACTTCAATGTCCTCGCCGCAAGCACGTACCGACTGAACAGGTTTTCCTAGCAAGTCCCCAAAGTCCTGGATCTTGGTCTTGGTCAAGGAGACCTCTAGACCCAAGGGCTTCGCTTCATTACTAAATGCATCGAGGGCCACCACTAAGGTTTCCAAAGACTCAGATAGAATTGCAACATCATCGGCAAAATCAAGGTCTGTAACCTTAATATTACCCAGTGTTGCTCCACAATGACTTTGAACAGTAGCTCTGCCTAGTATCCAGTCCATGCAAGTGTTGAAAAGAGTTGGTGCAAGAACACAGCCTTGCCTCACTCCTGAACTGACAGGAAAGAAGCTCGACAGGCCCCCACCACACTTTACAGCACTTTCAGTACCAGTATATAGGTTTGCTATTAGTTCAATAATCCTTGTTGGAATTCCTCTCAGTCTCAGGATCTGCCAGAGTGATTCCCCATGTACTGTATCGAACGCCTTCTTGAGGTCGATGTAGGCTGCAAGCAACCCACGTCCGAACTCACGACGGCGCTCTACAATGACTCGAAGCGCAAGGATACGGTCTATTGTTGACTTACCAGGAGTGAATCCGGATTGCTCTGGCCTCTGATGCCTTAGTAGATGGTCTCTGATACGCCTCAGAAGGATGCGGGCAAGAACCTTGCCTGTACACTGAGCAGTGTGATGCCGCGGTGATTGCTGCAGTCCCATCGGTCCCCCTTCCCCTTCCAGAGAGGGATGACCACACCCCTCAACAGGTCAGAGGGAACGGTACCAGACTGCCAAATGGCAGCCAGGACAGCATGCAATCCCCGCGTCATAGGTTCACCACCAGCCTTTAACAGTTCAGCTGGGATGCCGCAAATACCCGCTGCTTTACCACTCTTCAGCTTGGATATCGCCTCCCTAACCTCAGCTAGGGAGGGAGGGTCCTCGCTAATGGGTGGGTCCGGCAGCGGAATCACGGCACTACCCACATCCAAGTTAACTGTTGGAGGGTCAACCTGATACAACTGCTCAAAGTATTCAGCCCAACGCTCCCTCACCGCAACAGGATCTGAGACGATCTGGCCACCCACTAAGCGAACTGCAGTCACCTGTGAAGAGGGCTTGGAGTTCAGTTTTCTCAGGGCTTGGTATGCAGGACGAAGGTCATTTACTAAGAAATGACCTACAACCTCCTCAGCAAGATTCCTAATAAACTGTTCCTTGTCCCTTCTTAACAGAGACCGAGTTCTGCGCACCTGAGAACGGTGCAAATCCCGATCCCCTGCCAGACGAGCCGCACGGCAAGCATCAGTGGCTTCCAGTATCTCCTGAGAGATTGAATTCTGTCTTGCTCTCGGGCGTTCTCCATTCGATTCTTGGACTGCATCAAGCGTTTCACGCTTGAAGGTGTCCCACAGAAGTACAGGGTCCGTCCGGTTGTCAAGCGCTGTGAACCGATCAGAGATTGTCTCAGCAAACCTCCGAGCACACTCCCTCTCCTTCAACCTGTCCAGATGAAACACCCTAGGGTGGTCATTGGGCCGCTGGGGAGTTTTGAAGTGTACCCGGAGGGTAGCCACAACCAATCTATGGTCAGTACCACAGAACTCAGCACTCCTGTATACCCTGCACTTCTGGAGGATCCTCCAACGAGTGCTAACGAGAATGTGGTCGATCTCCTTGGTTGCATTACCCGCATCGCTGTACCATGTCCAACGATGTGGGTCTGGGCGCTGGTACCAGGAGCCAGAAATCCTCAATTTC